ACAGACACACCTACATGAAGAGGAGCTATGCGTTGGAGGCGTGACAGTGGCCAGGGGGCTTGCTATTATGGTATTTTGAAGAAAATAGGCAAAGTGCCGCAACGCATACCGCGGCATTGAATGCAAGAAAGGACTTGTTAGCCAGCCATCTCAGACGCCAATGAGAGGTATTTGACAGGCCACAGGCCGTCGGTGGGAAGATAAGGAGATGACATTCCCGCCCTTATCCATACCCATCCATGACGGCACCCTCGGCAGCACTCGCTCTCCATTGCCAGCCATGATGATAACCTCTTCTCAGACGAGTCAGGCAGACGGCTCGAAACCCTTAGAAAGCTCATCACGATGCTCGTCGGGTTCTCATAGACAAGCCACACCGATGCTGTGGGAGTGCTTTTCCAACGCTGTCTGTTCAAATTTGGAAAGCCCTAGGTCCCTTACCGACTCTCAGGGGTCGTAATCCCAAGATCGGAGCCCTGGACCACCCTCTCACCACCAGAATTCTCATTACAACAGCTGCCCACAGAGAAGTCCCTTCGAGACGAGCTACGAGTTTCATGACAGCATCCACGACGATAGCGACGCTACACCCACGTGGTGCTCTGGCGTGAAATCGCAACGGCAGACACCCTTAGATGATTTCACAAAGTGAAGGAGACAACTCTTCCCTTTACGGAAGCGACAAGGAATTTCTGCCATCAATCACACCGTTTCAGGCTGTTGTGTCTGTTAATGGGGATCAGATGAGCTTTAAATGCTCCTTTGAGCATGACGGCAGAGACGGTCCTGTCGATGTGAAATTCTCTCTACCGACTCGCAAGGAATATGTCAGCATTTAACTGAGCATGATAGTCGAGAGAAAAGAACCTTTGTCACGAAGCATCAGCTACTACAGCTGGAAATCGAAAGGGGCCAAGCGAGCTTACTAAGTCTAGTCAAGATGAGATCAAGAGAGGAATATCAGCGCCAGGAGAGACGGAGGCCGCCCACAGCAAGATCAGAGGCTGCTACCCATGCGAACAAGATGGCGCAATATGTATGATCGCTGGGATGTCCGAGGTTCGCTGGTTAGCCGCACCTTTTGCCCGCGAGGATGGATCCTTTCCAACGTTCACTTCCTGCATGACAGGTGTGGCTTCAGGGGCTCATACCTTGGACCAAGAAGTCGGGCAAACAGTCTCTCCGAGCCTAATAGTATATAAATGGCAACTATTCCCCTTACACCTGTCAACTCTCATTCTCGTTCCTCATCCACACAAACTTCGGAATAATGACATTCCAATTCCACAATTCGATTCCGGCAAGCTGCCTAGTTCCCGAAGATGATGCTATCGTTATTAGCAGTGACGACGACTCAGAAGAAGACACAGACGTAAAATCCGACTTCGATCACGACGACAGCCGGGCTGGCGGTGGGAAAGCCAACGATGAAGGCACTGAGGGTGCCGATACTGAGGAAATCGATGACAGCAAAGATGGCACCAGCAATGACGGTGTTAATGGGGCCGTCGCCACTGATTCTATCGCCGATGGCTTTGCTGATACCGACGACGATACCTCTGTGGCTGGGACAGCCAGCGACCGCGGAAGAGAAGGTGGCCCAACTGATGCTGCCGGCACCGCTATTGAGGAGCGTATGAAGTTGATGGTCCAGGAAATGTCTGCGATTCGCGCTACGCTCGCCCGAATTGAAGCCAAGTTGCCTCAGAACGCTGTCCCTCCTGAGGTGAATCACACATCCACCGCAATAACTTCTCTTGGCAAACGCAGGCGAACCAGTCCAGCAAGCGAGGTCCCAAAGAGGCAGAGGAAGGCTCGGGGGTAAAACGAGGGGTTTAAGAGTCCAGCGACACACCGAAAGCTCAAGAGTTACATATTAAATAGATGGCTCTTGTCTATTTCGCTGACAATAGAAAATAAAGCGTACTATGAAGAGAACGCGTACCTGTATGTGAAAGTTTACTGTTATGAGTAAATGATACAGTACGAAAATTCTAGCAAATCAGGCATATAAATGAATATACTATTACGAGAAAGCGGGCTTGTGACACGGGATCGCGTGCCAGGGTGGTGTCAAGGGCATCGCAAGTCATGGTTTCGCCATGATCCCTCCGTTGTGTCTCCGTTTTTGGATCAAAATCCACTCCCTCCCAGTCGTTTTGACGGGGGGAGAGCGGTGAACTGCGAGTTGTTTCTATATACATCATCTACATCGAGCTATTGAGGTTGGCGAAGGTACGACTTGGCCGTTGAAAAAACGGGTTGTTTGATTGTTTTGATGGAAGTGCCAGAACGATAATCCCGGAAATCGTCGAGTTCAGGAAGGTGTAAAGTCAGCACTGTACATGTAGTTAGTTCCAGTAGCCATGTCGGCTTTGCCGCCGGGCGTAATACATTGTGTGTGTGTGTGTATGTATATATATTACACACTACTTGCGTAGATCTGCTTCAGACCTAAGCTGCGTTGCCGAAGCTGTTAAGCAGACTTCTGCGTATGTAGCTATTCTTACGCACATTTCTGCATACGCAGCCATTCTACGTCTACGAGTAATGCGTATGAAGGTACGTTGACGCAATCCTCCCATTTGCAGCTGTCCCAACAGTTCAATGCATCCTAGCTAAGGCATAATAGTCGTGTCAATCTTAATGTTTCGTTCATTTTTACCCTAACCACATAAAGAATTCACTTCCGTCTCTTGCTCTTGATTGTCGTACTCCTTTCCGACACGATGAGTCATTCTCGTACCGAATTGCCTACCGGTTTTGATTGCCTTGCCTGCTCTGACTATATCCTTCCAGCTGTTGATATTCAAACGCGCAGGACCGGGGCCATGTCTACTGTGAGGAGAAGGACCTAATAAGTTCAGGGTTTCCGATGGCCCGGAGTACCGTGGTAGTGACCAGAAGGCAATGGAGAAGCTGTGTTCTTAACTCAAATTTGTGTCAATTCTCGGGTGGCTCCTCAGCTTGTAGGGCTTTCGGTGAAGTAGACTACATGATCCATCTCTTCCTTTGTGTCGCTTTACAAACCGCTAATATGATGGATATTGTTGGTGACGGCCAACTCCCAAAAGCGCACAGTTTGAGGCGCATGCCTTTCTCTATCAAGCAGCTAGTCACCGACAAGCCCAACCTAGGACGAGATGCAAGCATTGCCTACAACGGTCTTCGAAGAGCAAGGTATTTCATGCTCCTTCATCCATGGCACGCCGGGCCTGTGTTCCTACTACCGACTGGTCGCTCTCGACTGTGGCCTAACATTCTGGTCAGAACTCGTTCGAGGACTTTGGACCCGAAGTGGCTACTACAGTGATTCCACGTCTTGCTGAAGCGTTTCGACCTTTGCCCGACAATCTCCAGCTACCCGACGTCTCTGCTCTTGCTCGGACCTTTGCAGGACCATGCCCTCAAACTCTTTTCGACCGTACTTTGAAAGATACTCCTCGTCGGATAGGCCCTGTCCTGTTCCCTCTCCACCAAATGGAATGTGTTCAAGGTACCGAGCGACCGCGGGATAGACTTGTTTTGGCTCACTGTAGGGTGTTGTCAGTATGGGCTGATTGATGTGGTTCTGAGGGTGGCTTACAACCTCCTTCCATCCCATTTGTATAACGTGACATCTGGACTATGGGACCCGACGGAGCCACTGTCCAGAAGAAAATAACACTTGACGTTTTCTGCGTCGTATCGACCCAGGCAAGTGAGAAAATCGTCCTGGTTCGAGTTTCTATTCCACTCGTGTTGGCATATCAAGTTTGCCATTGCGTCCTTCCTTTGTACTGGCGTGCCGGGGATCGAGTGCGACTGACACCTTACCACGATTCGTCTTGCCATGGCCGTGATTGATGAGACGTTGTCCAGCCGATGGATAGCAGTGTAGCTCCGAAAATGTTAGGTTGGGTGCATTGACCTTGTATGAGACCGATTAGTCATTAGCCGATGACGTCGGATTCCACCGCAGGATTGGCCTACCGTCAAATCAATCTGAAGAATCCGGGGGTGTGGCATATGAACACTCGGGACATTTGACAGCCTGTGTCGTAGTGTTGTTGGCGAGGTTTGGACAATGGTCAAATCCCCTTTCGTCGCACTCACTCCAACCGGCAAATATCAAGTGGCGGCAACTATAGCGATTCCAGTTTTGTGTGTACATGGTACAGAGTATTGAGGATTTATCTGAAACGTGGTGAAGAGGCGTAAGTAGACTGGATGCAAATGTTGTTACTCGAAAGTGCTTGATTGGAGAAGTGGGAGGGGTTGGCTTCAGTCAGCAGCTGTGGCTTCACAGCTGGTCAGGCCCCAGGCCGAAACGGTCCGAGTTCTTTTCCGCAGCGCACCTTCGCCAATGACCACGCGATCCAGCCTCAACACTCGTCTACACTATGCCACCCCTCAAGCGACGAAAAAGCCCCGGCTAGAGTGTGCTTCTAGGGAACACAGAAAGTCTTTCCGGGCCCCAATCAGGTGCCAGCTGCAGCATACATACCCCACAAGCGGCAGTACATATATTCGAGAGCACCAATCTGTGATACAAGAGTGGTCCGGACTGCACATGCTACTTCTTCTGGATCCGCAGCCATTGACTGAGATGGCCATCACCGGTTCCTGTTTCCGTATGGCTTATAAAGAGGATGTACCCGAGGCTCCCTGTACAACAAGTGTACCCTGCACCTATCGATATCAATTTATTTAACCCCTGTCTATCATGGCTAAAACTGTGCAGCTGGTGTCATGGAAGTGGCCCGCCAGACTGGGGACTGGTCGCCGTCAGCCATGGGTTTGAAGGGAAATACAACAACCCTCTACCCGGTGACACCAAATTAGCAGCAAAACGGCAACCTTGGGTGGAACAGTAAGGGTGTCGAATATTCAAGAGGCTTTGTCGGTGGTTCTGAAAATAGAGCTCCTGAGGACCGCCTACGACTGAGCGTATTCACAATTCATAACGCTAGGCGGGCGAGGCATGGAGCTATTCCCGTCCGCTTATCAATTATGCTGGCCCCGACTCACGGAACTCCTGCCGGCTTTCAGCCTTCGCAGAGCTGGCGCATGCCATGTGATCTTCTTCATACCGCTGGTATAAGCTTGTGACGCGAGTTTCTAAGCCTTTCCTTCGTCTGGCTGATAGCAGCGAAAGTCATCATAATCGCGAAGGACATGCACGATATGCATCCATCAGATTTTCCAGCAATGTGCGGTGCTTTGCCTAAGTGAAAAAGTCTTGCACATGGTACCAGCCGAGTTTGGAGCACGCGCGTGCACGCCCCCCGCTCATCGAGGTGGTGGTCCCTGATAGGCTGACAGCACCGTCGAGCACAGTGCAACCAATCAATTCATAGTACCGCTCCGAAATGCTCGCCATCTGGCATGGCTCAGGTGAAGCCAGTAGGGTAGTGTGAGTGCCTACATAGCTGACCGTCCCACCCACTTAAGAAATGACTTGGACCTCAGTTTCTCCTCACCCATACACCAACATCCACAATGATATCGTCACCTTCTTGCGCATTTCCGCGCGACAACAATCAACCACGCTGCCTGTCACTCGACGACTACATTGATCTGAGGAATGCTCAAGACGCACACCTGAATGCTGAGTTTACCCTCGTCCGCGAATCTATTTCTCGCCTAGAAACGAAAACCGACCGCCTCGAAGAGAAGACCGACCGCCTTGAAGCTGAGATGCGCCAGTTGCACGCCTACACTCGAAATAATGCTTTAAGGAATCCCACTTTGCCTATCCGGCCCGTCGTCGTGTACAACCCTGAGCAGGGCATTATCGAACCAAAACCCACCCACTTCCCTCGGAACGCGAACGAATTCTACTCTCTGAGAGACCCGCCATCGGATCGTCACCGCTCCATGTTGGCCTACCTCGCCGTCTTCTACGACGTTCAGTTGAGGACTGCCGAAGATTCAGGGGGGGAAAGCAGCGAAGACGAAGTTTTCCTGGACCGGCCTGATCTAATAGTGGAGAAGCTAGAAGGCATACTCGGATTGAACGAGGACAAGTTCATCAAGTTCAGACAGAGAGCCCGGGAAATAGCAGCACGACCGCCATCCAAACCTATCAAACGTTCTCAGGTTATGTTACC